CTCAGTTTCCTCATCTGAAAAATGAAGGGAAGGGACTAGATGCTATCGGTGGTCCCTTCTAGTACTCAATCTACAATCCTAGGAAAGCAAGGGCAAACCTTAAAATACATTTAGGAGGCTGGGTTAGAATGTTCTCCTAAGGTCTCTTCTAGCACCAGAATTCTGTGGGAACAGTCTGTAAGGCCCAGGTTTCTGGGATACTCCTCTGGATGCAATGGAGAATATGACAGTCTATTTGGGGAGGCGATGCATGAAAAGTTAAGGAACAGCAAAAGAACTCAACAACGATAAGAAGACAGTAGAAGGAATATCGTGAGAAGTTGCAAAAGGCATGAGAGTAATTGCCAAAAGTGGTCTACGGAGGAGGGGGAAGATGGTTGGGGAGAAGAGAGATGAAGAGAGACAGGTAGGTCCAAGTTACCGGCTCCCCACTCAAGCTCCCTCTGTGCCTATGATGTCCTTTGGCTAGGGATGCCTGCAGACATTAGCCAGCAAAACAGAGCTTAGTGGAAGTTAGAAGAGAACCCAGTGATTCAGCCCACCCCCCTCATAGACCGCCCTCCTTGCATTCCTAGGATTGTAGATTGAGAACTGGAAGGGACCGGAGGGACCGTCTGGTCCAGCTCCTTTTTTTCAGATGAGGAAACTGAGACTTAGTTCAAATAACTTGTTCAACATCACAGAGCTAGTTCGAGTCAGACAGAATTTGAACCCAGGTCCTCTGATGCCACCTCCAGGGCTCTTCTCATGATCTTTTCTTCCTAGACCTTCCCTTCTTATCACCCAGGTTCCTAACTTCAGAACCATCAAGTCTTTCCTTTCCCTCACCTCTCATCTCTAGCCAGCTCCCCAGGCTTTATCAGTTCTACATCTACAATACATCCAGTGCCCATCCCTTTTCTGCAGTCACAGCCATCACCACGGTTCAGGTTCTCCTTGATTCTCAGCCATAGCATTTCAGTAGATTCCTAATTGGTCTCCCTGCCTCCATCCTCTTCTCTTCAAAGGGGACTTCAAAGGAAGGGATGAGAGATGGTGGCTGCAGGAGCCTTCTGAGGTGTATTGGCCAGTCCAGGAGACTCACTGCTTGGAAATCACAGACTTAGGATGTTAGAACCTCAAGGATGGAATATTAAAGGTTTCAAACCCTTTAATAATGCCCGAAGACTGGGCATTTGCAGGCTGGTTGTACCCTCACCCTTAACAACATGTTATGTTACCCTTTGTCTCTTTGTTCAGAGGGACACAGTCAGATGAACAAACCTTTGTGAAGGAAAACCAAGACTTTAATAGCAAGAATGGCAATAGGTTATTCATGTAAATGATAAACAAGGATGCAATTTGACCTTGACACTACTGTTAGAACATAAAGTCAGAACTGGGAGAGAACTTAGAACAGAGAATGTCAGAGTTGGGAGGGCCCTTAGAACAGAGAATGTCAGAGCTGAGAGGGCCCTTAGAACAAAGAATGGCAGAGCTGGGAGGGTTTTATAACAAAGAATGTCAGAATTGAGAGTCCTTAAAACACAGAACATTAGACCTGGAAGAAGACTTAGAACATAGAATGTCACAGCTGGGAGAGACCTTAAGAAATTATTTGATCCAACCCCCTCATTTTACAAAAGTGGAAACTGAGATACAGATTCCTGCTTGTTTAGTGTTCAGGAGGATCTTTCCATTCCATGCTCCATCTTCAAGACACATACGCACTCAGAGTATGGAGAAGTAAGAACAGAGAGGAGAGTCCATCTCCTCCTATGCAGCCAGGGCGGCTTATCAGGTGTGTTTTAAAGGAAGAATCCGTTTCCCTCTTTATCCTAACTCTCCTGTAGTGAGTATATTGGAGGATTCTTATCATCGAAGCCCTAGTTGACTCTCAGTAAATTCCATTGTCAGAGATTGCTCTTCAGTCATGACCAACTCTTCATGACCCCATTTGGGGTTTTCTTGGCAGAGATACTGGAGTGGTTTACCATTTCTTTCTCTGACTCATTTTACAGATGAGGAAATTGAGGCAAACAGATTGAAGTGACTTGCCCAGGGTCACCTAGCTAGTAAGTGCTTGAGGCCGGATTTGAACTCAAGAAGATGAGTCTTCCTGACTCCAGGCACAGCTCTCTATGCGCTATGGTGCCACCTAGCTGCCATTGTCAGAGAACCTAGGTTCAAATCTCACTTCTGATGCTTACTTGCCTATGTGACTTTGGGCAAATCATCACTGAGGGCCACTGCCTGAACCTTAATTTCCTTATTCAAAAAGTGAGGGGGCTGGACAAGACGGTCTCTGAGGTCCCTTCAAGTTCTAGATCTATGATATGATAATGAGGATGAGGCTGAGGCTGAGGACAATTAGATAAAATAGAAAGAGGAACGGACTTGGAACCAGATATGGGCTTGGATCCACAGCCACCATATATTCACCTATGTGACTTTAGACAGCTTACAACTTTTCTGAGCCTTAGAGTCCTCACCAGGAAAGCAAAAGGGTTGGACTCAGGTTCTTTCCGATTCTGAAATCTGATGTGATCTTTCATCTAAGATTGATGATGTTGACTGTAGTGACAATCGTGACTGTAGTGGTGGTGGTGAAGGATATTGATAACAATGGGATCAGGGATGATGATGATGGGGATAACCAGGATACCATTGATGGTGGTGGCGATGGTGATATTAATTGGAATGTTGATTGTTTTGATTGGTGGCAACAATGGTAACAAGGGGGGGTGGTGTTGATGAAGATAATAGTGACAATGGTGTTTAGGATGTTGGTGGTGAGCATGGCGATGGGGTGGAGATAGTAATGACATTGACAGCCATAGTGGTGACATATGGATGGTGATATTAATGATGATGGTGAAGGTGGTGGTAGGGATAAAAGTGGGAAAGATGGTAAAGGTGATGTCACCGGCACTTATGAGAATGTTGGTGGCAGTGATGATGATGATGATAATAGTTATAGTGATGTTGATAAAGATGGTGATCCAGGTCATGATGACGGTGATAAAAGCAGGAACCAGGATAAGGATATTTGATAGTTCTTCTAGGAGATCTGGACTGAAGCATAAACGCCTTCATTCGGCCCTAGGTTGGAGCCCACAGCATCAATTCCATGTTAGCAGCTGCTGTTTAGTGGGAACACTTGTTCTTGATTTGACAAGCGACTTCCATATCCAGGAATAGGAACCCAATCTCCTGAACCATCTGTCCTCACTCTCATTATAGAAATGTCTGAAATAAGTAATTACCTTGTCACCCTTGGGTGACCTGATCAGACCACTTGGGGTAGTGGGCTGAGAAGGAAGGTCAAAGGCAGGAAAGCCTCATATATCCAGCTTCTTTGGGGGAATGGTGTGGTTCACAGGAGCCAATTTTCCAGATATCTGGAGTTCATGTCTTTGAACTCCCCAACGTTTTTTTTTTATTTTCACTACTTCCACAGAAAGCTTTTCTCAAAGTATTATTTATTTGCCTACCTCCTTACACAGAGCACAAACAGTCCTAACCTAGACTTACATGTGAATGGCCACTCCTAGGTAGAAATTGAAGATTGGTTCTACAGGGAAATTCATGACAAGTTCTAAGCTACTGACTTTTGAAACACAATCATTCATAAACTCAGGATTGTGTTTATAATAAGAATAATAATTTCAACCAGCAATTATTAAGGGCCTACTCAGTGACAGCTAGTAGATTGAAGGAGGGAGATACAAAGACTCAAAACAGTCCCTGCCCTTGAGGGGCAGATCCAATGGAAAAGATAACCCACACACCCATGCACAGATCAATGTCATCATCATAATAGCTAGTATTTACAAAGTGCTTTAAAGTTAGCGATGCACTTTACAGCATAAGGATGAGATGGCAATAATTATAATAACGGGCATTATGCATTCGTTTCAATCATTTCCAACTCTTTGTGACCCCATTTGGGGTTTTCTTGTCAGGGCCACTGAAATGACTTATCATTTCCTTCTCCAGCTCATTTTATAGATGAGGAAACTGAGGCACACAGAGTTAAGTGACTTGGTCAGGGTCACACCGCTAGTAAGTATTTGAGGCCAGATTATAATAGTAACATTAGTAATGTTGCCTTGCATTTCTCTAATAGCTTAAAGTTTACAGAGCACTTTCTTCACAACAACCCTATGCATGTACTTGGAAACTGAAGCTCAGATGATCATGGGTTCAAATCCCAGCTCTGCCATTTACTTGATGTGTGGCTTGGAGCAAATTATTTCCCTTCCAAAAGCCTCAATTCCTGAATCAGTAAAATGAGGACTCAGGACATAGCAAAAAAAAAAAAAATGCCTCTGTGTGTGTGTGTGTGTGTGTGTGTGTGTGTGTGTGTGTGTGTGCGTGTGTGCGTGCGCGCGGGCGCGCGTGCATGTGTCCTGACTTGTTAAAGAGGTGCTTGGTCGACTATAAAGTGCCATGAGAGGGTTAGTTCCCCTCTGTTGTAATTTGCTGGGGGCTGCAACACCAGGAAAACAGGCTTGTTAGGACACTGTGTAAAAGAAACAGCAAATGGTCTCTGAGTGACAGCTTCCCTTCTGTGGAAAATCTGCCTTCAACACCATCTCCCAGTCCCAGCCTGATCCTCTCATCCTAAAACATTTTCTTTTAAGAAGTATCTCCTGTCCTCTGATCCTGAGGAAACTCAATGCACCTGACCCAATTCAATTCAATCTAATCTAACAAACATTTATTAAGGGCCAGGTCTCAGTTCACTCCTCTGTGAAATGAGAGGTTGGACATTAGAGGATCTTTAAAAGACCTTCCAGCTCTAAATCCTATGGCCACATTATCTGGGAAATGCTGCCCCAGAATGATAAGCCTAGTGCATTCCTCTGCTGGGTCCTCTGACTAGATCCTGCCTAAGCTTCCGAAACTGCCTCAATCGGGTTTAGCGGGCTCTGTTACCTGGCCCACCTGAAAGGCAGCTTCTGCTCAGAAAAAGTTGTGGACAGCCAGGTTCTCTGTTCTCCCCTGTCCCCTTCCAGATCTCCTCTACATGCTACTCCCCATGAACCAGAGACCCTGACAATTCCCGAGCTAACTGCTTTGCTGCTGACTCTTGTCCAAAGTGCTGAATATAGCGTGGGGTCTTCCGGATTGGGGGAATCAAGGACTAACTAACTTAGAAATAAAATAAAGTAAGTATAATACCTTGTTATAACTTGTAGTTGTCTAAAACCTGAGTCATTAAAACCTGAAAATTAAAATCCTACCCCCAGAGAGCATATCATACACCTGCAGAGAAATCAGTTCTAGGCAAATCATTTCTTCTTTTATGGAACTCAACTCCCTCACTTGTAAAACGGGTTGAACTAGGTGACATTTAAGGGACTATTATATGTTTAAACATTTGATGTTCTAAAGTCCCTCCCAACTCTACCAGTCAATGTTTTAAGAATGCTCCCAGCTCTGTCATCCTGTGTTCCAAGCTCCCTCCCAGTTCTGACATTGTCTTCTAAGGAACATCTTGGCTCTGACATTCTCTGTTCTGTCTCCTCTCAGCTTTGACATTCTGTGTTCTAAGGCCCTCTCAGCTCTGACATTCTGTGTTCTAAGGGCCCTCCCAGCTCTGACATTCTGTGTTCTAAGGGCCCTCCCAGCTCTGACATTCTGTGTTCTAAGGGCCCTCCCAGCTCTGACATTCTGTGTTCTAAGATCTCTTCCTGATTTGACATTATGTAGTTCTATGAATAGATTTGAAAGATTTCTCCATTTCTAAATTCCACTTACTAATCCTCCCTACATATTTCTGCTTGTTCTGTTGACAGGACCTTTCTTCACTGTGACATGAATTAACGGCTCTGTTTCCTACCTGGCTCATACTTCACTGACTGTTCTATCTGACTAGATCTACTGCCCTTGAAGAGGAAGTGTGGCATTCTTCCCTTGACTCCATCTTGGCTTCTGGGTAATGAAGGTCGTCTCCATCGTTGTGGTCCTCCTCTGTAAGTTGCTAAATGCTCCGAAATAACTTCAGTGCCTTGTCCTCTCTGTATTTGCATCTTGTTTATAAGCATGGGCTCTGCTGGGAGGTAGGAAGACGGGGAGTGGGAGGGAAGAGAGGAAGAGCCACAGTCACCAGGTGGAGAGTGGGGGAAAAAATGGATGGAACACTCTTTTCTGCCTGAGTTCTCTAGGGACTGCAGTCCTGAGACTGGTTGGTTCCTTGGACTGTTAGTGTTTCACGTGATGAGGGCTAGGGTCCCATGAAAATATGTCACAGCTAGCAATATTTTCAGTTCTAAAAATGGAGGCAGCTAGATGGCCCAGTAGATAATGGACTGAGTCTGGAATCAGAAAGACCTGAGTTCAGCTCTTGCCTTAGACTCTTATTCAATGCGTGACACTGGGAAAGTCTATGACTCAGTTCCCTCCTTTGTGAAATGAAGGGGTTGGATTCCACGGCCCCTTCCCAGCTCAGAAACCATGGTGATGTGTGCCAAAAATACTTGTGTACGACAACACAGATCCATACCAAGCTTGGCTTATTTTCCTCTCTTCCATTCCAAAATTTTCCCAACTCTTTTTTTTTTAAATCATGATATAGTAAAAAGAAAACCAGATTTGGGTTGAGAAGAGCAGGAATTTGAATCTTCAATCAGGCTTAGGACCTGTGTGACTATACATAAGCCTTTCTCCCTCTCTGGGCCTCAACTGGCTCCTGTGGACCAGATCTCTTAAGATGCCTCCCAGCTCTACGGCATGTGACCCTAATCTACAGGATGGACCATACCCCATTCTCCCACTCATCTTCAGCTAGCACTGACACATTCCTGTAACATCTTTCTTGCCCCCAAAGTGTTCCATGGATGGTTGGTTTGCCAGTAGCCTAGAGGTGTGGCTAGATCCCCGTGACTGTGCTGAGCTTGTTTCTCCATGTTTGGAATGGGCTGAGGCTGCTGGACTTGCCATACCATGGACCTACAGGTCTGCTGGGGCATTGCTATGAATACTGGTGTCATTATCAGTAGCAATAACTAAGAAAGAGGTAGCTTTTCTCCTCCCAGATTTCATTTTTCCTTGGAAAATATTCCTCTTTATTTAGACTCCTGAAGACTCCTGGTCACATGTAATTAAAAGAGAAACATCTGGTTTGCTCATTAAAGAAAGAACACATCATTCTTTCTTCAGCTCACAGTCCCAACAGGTAACATTTGGACAGCAACATTGGAGATTTACAAAGAACTTTTACCTCCATGAACTCACTGGAGCCTTGTGGGGCAGGGCAGAGATTGCTGGTTCTATATTGCTCAGGAGGAAACTGAGACCCGGGCAGGAGAAGGAACTTGCCCAGGGTTCCATGGCTAGTGAACAGCTCTTTCCAATGTGTGTTGGCACTCTCTTCTAAATTGGGAAGTGACACTCAGTCTCAAGAAAATGATTGTCAAACACTTTATATCTCTCTCTCTTAAAAAGTTATATGTGTACATATATATGTATACGTTCATGTATGTGCACGTTTATGTGTGTGCCTTCTCATTGACTTTGCTGCTCATATTTAGGAGTCTGGAGACCTTGTTCCCAATACTGCTTGTTGGTTCTAGCCACTAACTAAATGGGTGACCTTGGTCAAGTCCCTTTCCTTCACCATCTAACATTCTCTTTTCTAAGGTCTCTTTTACCTCTAACATTCGGTGTTCTAAGGTTCTTCTCCAGCCTTGACTTTTTAATGATCTAAGGTCTTTCTCAGCTCTTTTCTTTTCCAAGGTCCCTCCTAGCTCTATCATTCTCTGTTCCAAGGTCCTCCTAACTCTCACATTCTCTGTTGAAAGGCCCTTTCTAGTTTCAACATTCTGTCTTCTAAGGCCCCTTTCCAGCTCTGACATTCTCTATTTTGAGGTCCCTTCTAGCTCTATGTTCCAAAGTTCCTTCCAGTTCTGATATTTTCTATTCTAAGTAAGGCTCCTTCCAGATCTAACCCTCTGTGTTCTAAGCTGCTTTCCTGGTTCTAAGATTCTGCGATTGTAAATACCTTGATAGGGGCCAGATTTCTTGCCTTGTGATTTCTCAGTTGCATATTGCCATGGAAACTTCATCCCTGCTTGGCTTCTCCCTATGAGGTCCCAGGTCCCCTATTTTCTCTTTGGCAGTGCCCACGCTGACCCACAGCAGCTTCTGGCAATTTGGAAGGATGATCAAGCTCATTACTGGGAGGAATGCCTTATTCTCTTACTATGGCTATGGCTGTTACTGTGGACTGGGGGGCAGAGGAAACGCAGTGGATGATACTGACAGGTAACTATACACCAGCCATAGTCTGTAGCCTTCTCTGGGGATTTTGCTTAAGCACAAAGGGAGAAAGGAAATCAGATGATTTTTAAATGTCCTTTCAGAACAGATCAATGAATTTGACATGAAGCTTAAAAAAAAAACAACTAGAAAAACAACAAATTTAATCCCCCCCAATTAAACATCCAAAGTAGAAATTCGAAAATCAAAGATTAACAAAAATAAATTTTAAAAAGCTGCCATTTAATTGAGAAATAAATCTAAGATTTTTTTTTAATTAAAAGAAATGTCTATTCAGAGTGTTGAGTGTTGAGGCTGGCATATTGCCAGCACATTCCTTGCAAGGGGTGGCCAACTTTGAAGGAGTGGGATGTTTTTAGACCTCTCTACCAAGGCAGAACTGAGAGGGCCTCCTGAATCACTGCCATAGCAATAATAACTCACAGTTAATTAATAGACATTTATTGAACACCTACTGTGTGCTGAGAACTATGCTTGTGCACTTACGTCACTCGCTAGCTTCCAGAGTTCTTCCACATCTTTCACATCCGCGTCCTAAGGGCCCTTTCAGCTGCAATGTTTTGTGATCATAAAAGGCTAGGGTTCCCATTCTGCAAATGTCCATCAAAAGACTAGCAGGATGAATCAGAGGATCAGTGAGCAGCATTTTTCTTCACATCTTGGGTCTTAGCATAAAATCCAAGATTTTTATCTCTCCTGCAATTGAACTCCTAAATTTACTCTCCTGGCCCTGGCTCCCTCTAGGGAGGGAGAATGTCAGGAGGGATGCAATATGTTGGTCCCTTGCAAAAAGAACATAGTGACAATAAGCAATATCCCCGTGGTGCTTTGTGGTTGCAAGGTGCTTTACCTGATCTCGTTTCATCTTCATAACAGACCTGGGAGGTGAGTAGCACAGGTTTGATTATCAATTGATGAGGACCCACAAAGCCCAGAGAGGTTCTCTGACTCCAAATCTCCAAGCCCTTTCGGTGGCTACCCTGTCCCTGAGAGCCTTTCCCATCGCAAGTGTTTCAGCTGCCTTCTTGTGGATGTTTAGGCCAAGAACATGCTCTTTCCCTTGCCTGTCGTGTCTCCAACTCCAGGTGCTGTCAGGATCATGACTGCTGCTATGCTGAGCTGAAGACCTGTTGTGGCTGTCAGCCAATGTTTAGCACCTACCAATTCCACATTGTCAATGGAAGTGTGATCTGCTGTGAGTAGACACCAGAGGATTAGAGAGGAGTCACTTGGCTCTCTCTCATAAGGGTTTTCTTCGCTTCTTCCTGGTTCACTTTTGTTTCCTTGATCACCCAGAAAGTCTCTAGGAAAGATTTAGGATCTGGGAAAGAGAAATATTAGACCTGCCTGGAGGGCTTTTGCAACATAGGATGTCAGAGCTGAGAGGGCCCTTAAAACATAGAATAATCAAGCCTGGAAGGACCCTTAGAAAATAGAATGCTTGAGGTAGGAGGGACCTTAGAACATGGGATAACAGAATTAGACAGGGCCTTAGAATACAGAGCACACACACACACACACACACACACACACACACACACACAGAATCAAAAGGAATGTTACAAAATTATAAAGAGCAAGTAAGAACATGAGAAGTCACTCCTACCCTGCCCCTCTGCAGAGGTGCAAACACTGCTACTTGTATTTTAACACTTTTTCAATACATTGTTTAGTTATGCTGATTTTTTTCCCTCTTCTCTGTGTTTTTGTCATTAAAAATTTGCTTTTTATATGTTCATTGGGAGCAGAAGAGAAAGGATGCCATGGGGCACCATGGCAATATGAAAAGAAAAACAAAATATAACAATAAAAACTAAAAGAACATAGATGGTCACAGTAAGATGGGAGCTTACAGCATCCGGTGTCAGAACCAGGAGAGACTGTAGGGCACAGAATGTCGATGAAAGAAGGGCCCTCGGAGTGTAAAGCTGGAAGGGACCAGGAGAGACTTTGAAGATTATTTAATCTACTCCTCTCATTTTATACAAAAGAAACTAAGGGTCAGAGAGGGAATTAATCTGTCTATAGTCATATGATGAACTAATGGCAGTCAGGACTTGAACCCAGGACTCATACTCTACAGCCATTTGTCCTCTACCCTCCCCGCTACCCAAATTCACCCTCTGGGGAGCTGGTTCACTGACTCCACAGGCTTTCCAAAGCACCGATTGATCTCCTTATAGCTTTCTAGTCTCAATTAGGGGGTGAAGCGGTTTCCTCCAAGAGCAGCCCTGTTGGTTCTTGAAATCCTGCACCCAGGGCTCAGCTGCCAGTCTCCTGTTGGTCCAGTTTTTTCCTGCCCCTGGTTGCTTAGCAACCAGCAGAGCCCAGGGATGCAGTAGAGGGGAATGAGAAAAACAACACCTAGTCTGTCCACGTTTCTAAATGTCATTGGGTGATCCATGTAAATAAAGGACCATACCCTGACCCCCGAAGCCAGTCTCCATGATGAGCGCTGCCTCACGGGGTGGAGCGGAGAGCTGTTATCTCTCAGTACGGGGGGCAGTTTATATAACTGCTGATGGCTTGTAGATCATAGGTGGTTTGTGGTGCTGGGGGGAACCTCCATGTGTGGAATGCTAGAAAATAGAATGTTAACTCTAGAAGGGACCCTGGATCGACACACTTATTTCAAAGGTAAGGACACAGGGCTCTAGAGTCAAATACTGCAGACTGGTCGAGGAAAATGAGAAGCAGGGCAGCTAGGTGGCGCAGCGGATAGAGCACCGGCCTGGGAGTCAGGAGGACCCGAGGTCAAATCCGGCCGGGACACATGATACTTACTAGCTGTGTGACCCTGGGCAAGTCACTTAACCCAGACTGCCTCACCAAAAGACTGAAAAAAAAAATGAGAAGCAAAGAAAGGCCATCAGATTTAGCAATTAAGCCAACCCTGACCTTAAACAACTGAATCCCAGCGAGAAGTGACGTGCTGGAAGTTACATGGGCAGGAGAGGCAGCCTCCAGGCCCCGGTCCCTGGAACAGATGTTCCAATACTGCATAGTCTTCAACTCACTTAGTAGCCAGGGAATGGGAGTGAAAGTGGGCAAGAATGTCACCACGACTTTTTTTTTTCAAGAGCCGTTTCCTAAATTCAACAAATTCTGTGAAATAAACACTTATTAAGCACCTGCTGTTTGCAGAACACTGTGACAGGTACTGGGGGTGGTACAAAGTTTAGGTAAAGCCTGGGCCCCATCTGCCTGTTTCTAACTGCTCCCATTCGCACAGTTCCGTAGGGTTTATAAAGCGTTTCCCACCCCAATCTTGTACTTGTACAATGTATCCATTTTATTTTATGTTCAATGTACACATTTTATGGATGAAGAAACTGAGCCTCAGTGACCTACCCAAGTTCACACAGCTAGCAGACAGCAGAACTGGTTTTTGAACCTGAGTCTCCTCCCTTGACATTACTTTTTACAACAAGTAATGCAGGCAGAGGTGGGGGGGGGGGAGAGAACAAAGCTTGGATAATTTTCTAGATCCTCTAAGGTCCTGGCCCTGTCCCCAGCCAAGCTTTTAATGGTGATAACTTACCAGCTGAGTGCCCAGTTTATCAGAGATGCTCAGTATGTGGCAGGGTGAGGCAGAAAGATTCCATGTAACAATAGCTGACTTGTCTAGAACACTTTACGATTTGCAAAGGGCTATAAGACAGTTACCTTATCTGACCTTCACAACTGTTCAGACAGGCAAGTCCTGTATCTATTATTATCCCTATACTACGGATGAGAAAACCGAGATTCAGAGAGGTTGTCACTTTGAACGTGGATCTTGCTTCACTCTGGGTCTAGTGTTCCTGCAACTCTACTTCATTATCTCCTACGTTGTCAATGTGAATATATGTGTGTATACATATGCTTATGTATATGATATGGGTTTGTATATATAATAATTATATATATGTATATATACATATACTTATTATATATCCTATGACACCCTCTAATACAACGATATATAATTGCCCATAAAAACAAAGCACTTAGCCTCCCAAAAAGCCTTACCCCAGACTCCCCCTTTCTGATGAAATATCACACTAGTGGTAGAAAGTGTCCAAAACACAAGCTCCAGGGTGGAGAAGGAAGAAAGGGGAATAAGCATTTTTATATAGCGTATGCTATGTGCCAGGCACTGTTCTAAGCACTTTTACAGATATCAAACTTGAGATGGAACACTTCCCTACCCCACAGGAAGGGAAGTCCTGGGCTTAGGAGGCAACTGTTGTCTTAGAATCACAGAATCTCAGAGATGGAAATGACTTTCAAGGGCCATTTAGTCCCCCTCATACATGATTAAAAATTCCCTGTCTAGCATACTCGGCCAAAGTATGCTTGGGGGGAGAAAAAAGAGAAAAACTACAGTCCTCCACCTTCAGTACCTTCAGCATTTCCCTTTTCCCATCTGTAAAATGGGCAAAAAATTTCAACATCTACTTCACAGGGTTGTTGTGGAAGGGACAGGGAGGGAAGTGTTCTGTTGGTTTTGAAATATCATTGAAATGGAAGCCATCATTATTATCTTTATGTAGAGCCTGGGTAGGATCCAGACATCACATCATCCCAACCTCACCTTTGCGGTGTTTTTTCTCCCTTCATAGATGGTGGCAGGAGTGGCAGGAGTCTCTGTGGGTCACTGACCTGTGAGTGTGACAAGAGATCTGTTTACTGCTTCAAAGAGAGCCTTCGCACCTATAAGAAGAATTATCAGTTCTATAGTCAGTCCCGGTGTGGTGTGAACAAGGTCATGTGCTAAGGAAGAGGCCAGGACATGGTGCTTCCCCAACAGACAAGAGACTCCCCCCTCTCTTAAAACTCTGCACAAGATTTACCTCCAGGAACACTTCCCAGATGAAGCTCAGCACACTTAGATCCAGAACCACAGATTGTTAGAGCTTTGGACGTGGACGTAGAATGTTAGAGCTAGAAGGGTCCTTAGAACCTAGAATGTCAGAGCCGAGAAGGATCTCAGACTATAGAATTCCAGAGCTGGGAGGGACCTTAGAGCACAGAATATGAAAACAGAAAGGACCCTTAGAACATAGAATGTCAGAACTAAAATGGACCTTATTGATCACCTCAGGTTACATGAGGAGTTCATGGGTCAGCACCCCATCGTAACCATAGGTCCTGAGTTCCCATTGTGTGCCAGACAGAGGACGTGTGATACAACGCAAAAACACCTGCAACAAAAAATACCACAAATAAAGTGAAAAGGAAATGTACTCAAAATACACACAGGTATACTCGCCTCACCTACAAATTGCCAGCAGTACTAATGGGTGTGGAGAGCACGTGAGACCAGGGAATATACAGCACTGTGGCTGGGATGATTCACACCTGCAAGTCGCAGAATTGCTAAGTGCACAGGCGATGTGATCAGGCAGGCTGCCAAGTCCCTTCTCTCAATCACCAGGTCTCTGCTGGGCATTGCATGGATGCCTACTTTCTGTTGGATTATCTCTGCTGGGTGTCTCCACTGGTCTCTCGGGCTGCTGAGCTACTGTCTGATACTATCTGCTGGGCCTTAGATATTTAATCTCTTCAGGAACATCTGTTGACATTTACTGAGGTGCTATGACTGGAAAACCTCTTACTGTCAGGGAAAGCTGCGGCTCTCAAAATGTATAATTTGAAGGTTATGAACCGTCAGATCCATGTAGGCAGCCAACGAAAGTCGGCAGCATGCCCCAGATTAAATTTATTCTTTTGATTTTTTTTCTCCTAGTATAATCTCAGTGTATTTGATCCCAGAAACTGTCTGATTTAGAGTTAGAAAATTTATTTTAGTGTCTGTTAAATCTTTGATTATAGTCTCCCTATCTCCCTATACCATTTTGGAAATTCCACTCTGCCTCTTCCCTTTCCAAAAAATACACTGGAGTTGTACAGAGAGACAGTGATGACAGCCTTTTTCTCCCTTATTCTTTGATTCACATGCAAATGAAGCTACAGACAGAACATTTAGTTGAAGGGAGCAGGGCCGTAGTGTCCACCATGTTTCACACTGCTGCCTTTGTTACAAAAGTGCTGTTATATTTTGTGTTATAATGTAGCTCACCTTTCCTCATACAAACGAGGAAGATGAGACCCAGGGCAATGAAATGACTTGTCCAAAGTTACATACTAAATCGGAGTAAAGTTAGGACTTACATCCAGGTTTCCTCACTACTAGTCCCCCTGGAAGGAAAATGTTCTAAAAATGTCTCCTGGAGAGTACCTTATCACTTTAGAGTTTTCATGATTCCATGAAGTATTCATGGGTGATGAATGGGTGTCTTCCAGACTTTTCCCATCCTACCCCTTCAGCTTTATATCCACCCCTCCACCTAAAACTTAAACCTAAATGTAGGGCTTCTAAGGGTTAAAACAGATTACTCAGACTTCACTTAGAGGTTGCAGGGAGGAAAAAGTGGTGGACTGATCACTCAATATCATGAGATTCAAAGCCGAAAGAGACCTTTGACTTTATCATTTTACAGATAAGACTGAGGCTCAGAAAATAGAAATGACTTCTTCATATAAACTATAAGATCAGGGATTCTGATTCCAAATCTAGTGTTCTTTCCAATGCACAATGTAATTGCCTCTTCCAAAATAGGATTGGTGGAAGATACCAGCCCCATCCCAACGGTGGCAGGCAAAGCCCTAGAAGGGCTGAGAGCAGAACACAAAACCAGGAGTGAGAAGTTGTTGCCATGTCTCTTAAGCCCTTCAGAAGCACAAACACAGAATTTCCTTTTCAACTGCTTTAGTTCTGTCCTCCATAGAAACCCACAGCAAGGAGGGGAAAAATGAAGAGTAAACAGCTAAGCTTCTCTCTTACCTCCCAGTTGAACAGGAAAAACACCATGAAAATGTCAATAACTAAGGGAAGAAAAGGTGGCAGGAGGAAGAGGTGTTCTGGCAAGGGAAGTGACTGCTATTGACTTCTGGTGGAGAGAAGCCAAGTGTAGCTGGAGACAGAGGGAAACATACTATGAGAGGTGGGAACATAGGGAGAGAGGGAGAGAAGGGGCTAGGAAAAGATACACCAAAGAGAAGGATAGCCTTGGAAGGAGGAATTCAGGCAGTGTCCAGAGAGCATGGCTAGGAAAGATAGTGATGGAACCTGGAACCTAGCCTCCTGGGCCCTCTTCCAGTCTCTGATGTCCCAGATTGTAAATGAATGCCTCCTGATCTCCCCCGACCCCACTCAAAAAAGTTCTCTCTCCCTTCAAGGGAAGTAGTAAGGATTTTAGATAAGCATGGGGTGGAAGCCAGCTATCGTCTCCCATCTATAGTTCCTGGTCATTAACCCAGAGGCCAAAGACACATTTGGATCATATCACTGTGACCTGTGGCCCAGGGGACCACCCCCCACCTCCTAGAGAGGGCTCTGATGCTGGGTGGACCAGTGGACTCAGATTAATCCTGGTGGTAACAAGACCCCAAAGAGTAGTGAGCAGGTTTTTTCTAACTCTTTGGCTCATTTTGCCCCCACTTTGGAGTAAACTTCTGGGGAAAATCTCTAAAACGAAGCTTAGGTATGGCTCATGTTTGGGATTTCCCCAAAACTGGGCTATCAGGATCCCTTCTAGAAAAGGTACTCAGATGAATGAAATATAGATAAACAGGTAGGTAGGTAGGTAGATAGACAGACAGACAGACATATAGGTAGGTAGATAGACATATCTATGTATGCATATGTGCATGTATATATACATCTATCTATATTCATAGAGAGACAAAGATAGAGACAGAGAGACAAAGACACAGAGAGGATATAGGGGTATCCTATACCTATATTGTAATGGACAACTATACATACATATATAGGTATATAGGATATATGAGCTAAATGTGTATAGGTATGTCCTATACCCATCTGGTATAGGATAGCTATATATTTCCTCCACCACAAAATAAATGCTTAAAATGCAAAGGATTCATAAGGGCACACTAGAAAACACTTAAGACATGAAACAATAAACCATCACACCTATTATATTTTCCCAAAAGGTAAAGGCATTTTGAAGGATTACTGAATAGACATTTCACTTTCAATCTCAAGCCAGTACTGTCTAAATGACTGAAAAGACACAGATTTACTGGCCTACTAGCCGTGGCTCCTTTCAAGTTCAAAATGAACTTAATGGTTTTCTCCTCCTCCAAAAAGTAGTATAGCTGCAGGAATTTCCTCCTGCTCAGCTGAAACCAACTCAAGAATCTAGGAACTCTTGACCTTGAAAAGTAGCCATCAACGATGGAAATACCCATTTCTCAGGATGGTGTGCTCTGGGAAAGAAACACAAAACAGGGAAGGCAACCAGGGATGTGAGACCCAGTCTTAGGCTCCTGTGTTCTCACATGTACTTATAGCCAACATCGTCTCTAGAGGAGTATGTGTGGGGAAGGGAAAGAAATCTTCTAACCCCTTTCCCCACCCCAAGACCAAGAGAGAACTGGCAGAATCCCAAAGAAATACCCCAAAAAGAAGGGGAAATAGAATCCAGCTTATAGCCACCTGAGCATGGCGATTCCTTCTGGCTCTATCGACTGTCATCTATGATACCATCCAAGTCATAGGAATCATTGAGGAGTTAATTGTTGGTTAACTTGTGTCTTTAAGAAAGAGGCCAGCCTGCATGTCCTACAGAAAGGGACCAGATTATGTGCCCTTCTCCATGGGAAATGCCCCAGAGCAGCAGATAAGGAGAGTAGGTATAAGGTGGGGGATGGTGTGGATTCCCTGATTATCCCTGCCACTCCATTCTTGTCAAATGGCAGGTGCAAAGAACCAGTGTCCTTTGGGTCAATTTAGTGTTGTAGAGGAGATAGGACAATCTCCTCCTACCACTGTCATTGTTCAGATCTTAAAAATGGATACCATTAACTTCCTAACTGGTTTCCCAATCTCCAGTTCACACAGGTGTTAATATCACTCTCCAGCTCAAAAACCTTCAGTGGCTCCCTTTTGCTTGTCAGACGAAGTATGGACTTCTTAGCCTGGCATTCAAGGCTCTACACAACTTGAATCTAACCTTTCTAACCTGATCTCATAGGATCATAGATTTAGAGGGAGAAGCCACCTAGTTCAAGACCCTCTAGTTGTATAGGAGACCATCTAGTTCAACCCCTGATTTTATAGATGAGGAAACTGAGGCTGGTAGAGATTAGGTGTCTTGGCCAAGGTAGGAAATAACAGAGCTGGGATTTGAACCCATTTCTTCTGACTCCCAGTCAGACATGTCTCCTACTCTGTTATGCTCTCTCTCATCCTACTCCCCACTGTGTAGTTTGTGTTCCAACCAAACTAGATATTTGCCATTCCCGTATTCTTGTCCTGCCCTCTCTTTTATTCAGGCCTTTAAATATGTAATAATAATTATTATTATACCTAGCATTTATATATTGCCTAAGGTTTGCAATATATTCCACACATATTATCTCATTTGATCCTCAAAATAACCATGCAAGGTAGGTGCTATTATTATCCTAATTATATAGATGGGGAAACTTGAGCTGAGAGAAAGGTTCAGTGTCTTGCCTAGAATCACACTGTTGATAAGTATCTGAGGTCAAATTTGAACTCAGCTCTTCCTGACTGCAGGCCCAGAATTCTGTGCACTATGGTGCCCCCTAGCTGCCTTCTGGCAACTCTTCTAAGATCATAAATGGAGAAGATGTCAACTTGCATCCATGAAGGAAGTAGATATATTAGGGCAGGGAACCTGTGAACTGAGTCCAAGCTTTACAGAATAAATCCTTTTATTAAGGAAGTTTGGATTCAGTCAAAGGGCCGCACTTGAGGACCTAGAGGGTCACATGTGGTCTCGAGGCTGTAGGCTCCCCATCCCTATAGGAGCTCCCTATATCAATTAAATCAAAGCTCCAGTCCCTATCCTGATTATGAGCTTACCCACCATTAGCAAACACAAACATTCCAGGGCATATAAAGAACAGAAAGAGGAGAACTTATGAAACTGTGAACTTTTGTTACCTTCAATCTCACTCTTTTCAGTGCACACCTGCCTTTGTTCATGACCTTCCCTAAGCCTTGAATGGACTCTGCTTTACCCCCAATATGT